CCCTGGAGCTGGGATCCAGCTTTTCCTGCCCATTCCCAGTTTTCTTTGCGCCTTTCCCTGCCCCTGGAGAGCTGAGGTCAGGATCCATCTTTTCCTGCCCATTCCCAGTTTTCTTTGCCCCTTTCCCTGCCCCTGGAGCTGGGATCCAGCTTTTCCTGCCCATTCCCAGTTTTCTTTTCCCCTTTCCCTTCCCCTGGAGCTGGGATCCAGCTTTTCCTGCCCATTCCCAGCTCCTTTTCCCCTTTCCCTGCCCCTGGAGCTGAGGTCAGGATCCAGCTTTTCCTGCCCATTCCCAACTCCCCCCTCAGCTGCTGTTCCTGGCTCATCCCAAGCTCCATCTGGGGCCTCTCCTGGATTAAAAAACCAATCCCTGAAATCCTGGTCATGGATTCCCATCCCATCCTCCCGGAGAGGAGAGGCAGGACCTGCCCATCCCACCCCATTCCCGGCTTCCCACTGGGAATTGTGCCTCTCTATCCACATCCCAACCAGGATGTTGGGCAGGGATGGAGTCTTTGTGCCTGGAATTCCCTTGGAACAGCTCCAGTGCTGGGAATTAAAGCCATAAATGGGCTCTGGGGCTGCTGAATTAATTGCTGGGTGTTAATTAGGGGGTGTTTTCCCTCTTTCCCCTCAGGGACTCGCTTCCTGCTTCGGGATCTGCTCCATGAATCACCTGGAGGAGACCTTGGCCAAGCTGGAGGATTTTGTGAGGTCTGATGTGTTCAAGAAATCCGTGGGGCTCTTCAGCATCTTCAAGGTGAGGGACGAGGGGGATCCATCAGGGATGGGATTATCAGGGATGGAGCATCAGGGATGGATCCTCAGGGGTGGGATCGTCAGGGATGGGATTATCAGGGATGGGATCATCAGGAATGGATTATGAGGGGTGGATTGTCAGGGATGGATCATCAGGGATGGGATCATCAGGGATGGATTATCAGGGATGGATCATCAGGGATGGATTATCAGGGATGGGATTATCAGGGATGGGATCATCAGGGATGGGATCATCAGGGATGGATTATCAGGGATGGGATCATGAGGGATGGATCATCAGGGGTGGATCATGAGGGATGGATCATCAGGAATGGATCATCAGGGATGGATCATTGGGGTGGATCATGAAGGATGGGATCCTCAGGGATGGATCATAGGGGATGGATCATGAGGGGTGGATCATGAGGGATGGATCCTCAGGGATGGGATTATCAAAGATGGATCATTGGGGTGGATCATGAGGGATGGATCATGAGGGATGGACCCTCAGGGATGGATCATCAGGGGATGGATTATCGGGGATGGGATCCTCAGGGATGGGATCCTCAGGGATGGGATCATCAGGGATGGGATCCTCAGGGATGGGATCCTCAGGGATGGATAATGAGGGATGGGATCCTGAGGGATGGAATCATCAGGGATGGGATTATCAGGGATGGATCATCAGGGATGGATCATGAGGGATGGATCATCAGGGATGGATCATCAGGGATGGGATCATGAGGGATGGATCCTCAGGGATGGATCATCAGGGGTGGATCATTGGGGTGGATCCTGAGGGATGGATCCTTAGGGATGGATCCTCAGGGATGGATCATCAGGGGTGGATCATTGGGGTGGATCCTGAGGGATGGATCATCAGGGATGGAGCACCAGGGATGGATCATGAGGGATGGTTCATGAGGGAAGAGATCCTGAGAGATGGGGTCATCAGGGATGGATCATTAGGGATGGATCATCAGGGATGGATCATGAGGGATGGTCTCAGTCTGGTCCAGAGTGGTGGTCACAGTCTGGTCGAGAGTGGTGCTCCCTGGTTCAGACTGGTGGTCCCAGTCTGCTTTGGGTCACAGTTTTGGCTTCCACCCACCCGGTGCTGAACTGGTCCCAGCTGTCCCTAACTGGGACTCTTCCCTCCCCTGCAGGACCGCAGCGACACGGAGGTGGAGAAGATCAAGAGCACCCTCATCCTCTGCTACGGGCACGTGGCCGTGGCCGCGCCCCGCGACCTCATCCTGCCCCGCATCGAGCCCGACATCCTCAGGAACATCTTCCAGTACTTCCACACCAAGGTGAGCCCTCCCCCTTCCCGAAAAATCCAGGAGTGGATCCCTGGATGGATCCCGGGGGTGTGTCCATCCCTAATGTTGTGTTTTTCCCCCGCTTTGTTCAGGTTCTGGGGATGAAAGTAGAGACCAAGGTACAGAGTGAGTGAGAGGCGCTTGGCTCTGCTCCGCTCTTCCCTGGCTTCTCTCTCTCTTCCTCTCTCTCTCTCTGCCTCTTCCCGCCGGGATTTGGGGGATTGGGGGGAGCTGGAGGAGCTGCTGCTCCTCACCCCGGGATTCCCAGGTTTTTTCCATGCTGGGGTTGTTCCAAAACTCCCAGCAGAGAGGGATTGGGAAAGAACTTCCTGGTGGGATTGGGGGGAGCTGGAGGAGCTGCTGCTCCTCACCCCGGGATTCCCAGGTTTTTTCCGTGCTGGGATCGTTCCCTGAGTGGTCCAAAAATTCCCAGGTTTTTTCCATGCTGGGATTGTTCCCTGAGTGGTCCCAAAACTCCCAGCAAAGAGGGACTGGGAAAG